TTATCGATTTGGTCATTGAAAAACCCAACCCAATGCCTAGTTCACTCTGGCCGCTACCTAACGAGCTACATACTGCCCAGAGGGGGTCTGGTGGCAGCAACCTTTAAAATTAAGACTATAGTTAAGTTATCCCCTTAGAATTAGTGACCCCAGAATCTGGTAGTATATGGTGATTAATGTCACGAATTCATCATCCGTACCTGTCACAAGCTGGGTACCACAGGGCAGTGTAATGGGTCCGCTGTTGTTTGTTTGTTTCATAAATGACATGCCTGACATTGTACACTCCTCCATACAAATGTTTGCCGATGACGCCAAGTTATTTCGGAAGATCAAGAACCAAGCGGACTGTGAAGAGATGCAGAAGGACCTTGTGGACTTCAATAATGGTCGAAGAAATGACTGCTGAGATTCAATGTCAAGAAGTGTAAGAGGATGCACCTGGGGCGTACCAACGGTAAGGAGGCGTATCGTATGTCCCAACGGGATGAAGAAACTGCTCTATTTGAGACTGAATGTTAGAAGGACCTAGGTGTGGGGTAGGGTACGATTCAGCGCCGCCATTCCAGCGCCGATGTTTCAGCGCCAGCCCATTTCAGCGCCAGACTATTCAGCGCCACCGTTTCAGCGCCACCGTTTCAGCGCCACCAAATCAATAATTTCTTCAAAGAATCATACATATTTATTGGATTGGTTGATTTAACCTAACCTAACCTAACCTAACCAAATATTAATAAGTTGAATACATAATATAAATCAAGTGTAGTATACAGTGTTATACCACGTTAATGAAAGACAGATAGCTTCTGAGTTGAACGGAACGCACAGGCGCTGAAAGGTCTCGGCGCTGAATAATCTGGCGCTGAAATGGGCTGGCGCTGAAACGGCGGCGCTGAAACGGCGGCGCTGAAGCGGCGGCGCTGAATTGGCGGCGCTGAATTGGGCCATCCCCCTAGGTGTGTATGCTGACAATGAGCTGAAGTTCTCGGGCCATTGCGAGAAGAAGGTAAATCAGGCAAATAAAATATTGGGTCTTATAAGAAGGTCGTTCATATATCTACACGGTCCGTCCCTCGTAACGATCTTCAAGAGTGAAGTCCTTCCCCATCTGCAGTACTGTCACCCCGTCTGGTCCCCGAGATATGCTAGGGACTGTCAGTTGGTTGAAAATGTTCAAATGACGGCCACCAGACTTTGGCACCTCAGCTACCCTGAGAGATAGGAACGCCTGAATTTCCCTAGCTTATACTATAGACGGGCAAGGGGTGACCTAATTGAGGTGTATAAGTATCTCAAGGCGCACTACTCAGTCGGACAATATTTTTTTTAATAGTAAATGGCTGGATACTTTATAGACAGACCTCGTATATATATATATATATATATATATATATATATATATATATATATATATATATATATATATATATATATATATATATATATATATATATATATATATATATATATGGAATTCTTGTATTAAGCAACCTATATATGGAATTCTTTGAAAAGAAACTATTAAGTAATATTTTACCACCCTCAGCAGTCTGGTTTAGATATGTTGATGATGTATTATGTCTCTGGCCATGTAATGAGGACCTAAAAGCTTTCCTGCCACAACTTAACAACTTAGCCCCCTCGATCAAATTCACTGTGGAATTAGAGCAAGACTGTAAATTGCCATTCCTAGACTGTCTGATACACAGAATAGGTAACACTTTTAAGTTCAGTATTTATAGAAAACCAACTAATGTGTGTTCATACATTCATTATTATTCTGCCCACCATAATAAAGTCAAACAGTCAGTATTTTCAACAATGTTTTTACGTGCCTTGAGAATTTGCAGTCCGGAATTCATCGATGAGGAATACAAATATATATATAATATTGGCTCAAACCTTAAATACCCTAGATCTTTCATAGACAAATGCCTAAACATTACTAAGAAAACTTTTTATAGAACTGATCCCAAGCCCACCCATGACCATAAGAATATCTTAATATTACCATTTCACAAAAATTTCTCACACATTCCTTCACAACTAAAAACCTGGAACGTCAATGTGGCATTTAAAAACTCATGCACTGTTAAACAAATGTTAATCAAGAACTCCCCCAACAACACAATTGGTTGCATTTATAAAGTTCCTTGCAAGGAATGTAATATGTTTTACTTAGGCCAGACAGGTAAAGATCTTGCAACTAGAATTAAACAACACAAATACAGTGTTAGGACAGGCCAGGAATCCAATGCTCTGTTTGTTCATTTGAGGGATAACAAGCATTGCATTGACTGGGATAATGCCTCCTCAATATTACCATGTAATTCAATTGATAGTAGGAACATCATAGAATCTAGTCTTATTAAACATACCGAAGCATTCAACATGAATTTGAGTAACGGCATGTACAAGCTGGACAATTTTGTAATTAAGAAGATTTGTGACCAGGTGAGAAGGCCGGGTCACCTGACCATCTGACCTGACCACCAACCGTTGTGTGCTATTTAAAGATTAGTAGGGTCATTACCTAATACCTGACCATTGTGGACCTGGTCTCACCCTCCTCTGTATATATACACCTTGATTTGTATTTCTCTCTCTAGTCTGTACTCACCCCTGAAGATGTGAATTACACGAAAGCGCTTGGGAACTTCGTGTTTTCTTCTTTCCTTGTGGTTATCAGCATATATATATATATATATATATATATATATATATATATATATATATATATATATATATATATATATATATATATATATATATATATGTAGGGGTATCGAGATATTAATGTTGTCTAGCACTCAGGATGGAAGGAAACTCTAATGTGGTCTTCTTGTATAATATAAGTTATATGATAGACAGTCTGGTGCTGGAGGAGCCGTGTGGTGGGGAGCTGCTCAATAGAGACGTTCGGTGAGTAGCTTGTTGAAGGAGGTAGATGTGCAGGAGCTTCGTTAGAGAAGATGTTGCCTGTTGCTGGCCTCCTGGTTGAATGAATGCTGGACAGCTAGGAGCTTGCTGGAGGAGGTGTTGCGTGTTCAGGAAGAGGGGCCAGAATGAGAGTTGGGTGGTGAGGAAGCTCAGAGAAGGACAGCTGGTGGGTCGCCATGCTCGCTGGCGGGAGCGAGGACCGCCAGGCAGGCGAGGAGAAGCGAAGGGAGCCAGGCAGCGGCGAAGGAGGAGGTGTTGCTTGTTCAAGAAGAATGGTCAGAATGAATCTCAATGGAGAGACAGAGCTTATATACCCTGCAGCAGCCGCCATTCCTCAATGAATCATGTTGGGAAAACCCAGAAAGTCGCCGGTGATTAGTGTATTGGGCCCGCTGTTGTTTGTTTGTTTCATAAATGATATGCCTGACGTTGTACACTCCTCCATACAAATGTTTGCCGATGATGGCAAGTTATTTCGGGAAATTAAGAACCAAGCGGACTGTGAAGAGCTGCAGAAGGACCTCTGTGGGCTCCAGGAATGGTCGAAGGAATGGCTGCTGAGATTCAATGTCACGAAGTGTAAGAGGATGCACCTGGGGCGTACCAACGGTAAGGAGGCGTACCATATGTCCCAACGGGATGAAGAAAATGTACTAGTTGAGACTGTGTGTGAGAAGGACCTAGGTGTGTATGTTGACAATGAGCTGAAGTTCTCGGGCCATTGTGAGAAGAAGGTAAATCAGGCAAATAAATTATTGGGTCTTATAAGAAGGTCGTTCAGATATCTAGACGGTCCGTCCCTCGTGACGATCTTCAGGAGTGAAGTGCTTCCCCATCTGGAGTACTGTCACCCCATCTGGTCCCCGAGATATGCTAGGGACTGTCAGTTGGTTGAAAATGTTCAAAGGAGGGCCACCAAACTGGTGCCTGCACTTCGGCACCTCAGCTACCCTGAGAGATTGGAGCGCCTGAACTTGCCTAGCTTATACTACAGACGGGCAAGGGGGGACCTAGTTGAGGTTTATAAGCATCTCAGGGGGCACTACTCAGTTGAGTGTCCTTACTTGGAGCTGGCGGACGCTCGCCCCACAAGGGGTCACAGCTCAAGATTGAAGAAGCCGCAAGTCCAGAAAACCGTGAGGGCAAACTTTTTCGGAGTGAGGGTTGTAAACTCTTGGAACAATCTACCAGAGAGTGTTGTGACGGCACCGAGTGTGAGCTCTTTCAAGAGAAGACTTGACAAACACTGGAGCGGGTTCAGGTACATTCAGGAGCCGGTGCATGCCCAGTATTTGCCAACAGTGCTTGACAGAGACGTGACCGATCGCCCGGGCGGCTAGCGAGCCGACCTTTTGGTGAAGAATATAAAGGAAAAGAGACGTGACCGATCGCCCAAGCGGCTAACAAGCCGATCAGTGGCGAAGAGGATAAAAGTAAAAAGGATACGGTAACATCTGGTTGGTTGCTAGGGAAGGCGGTAGCAGCTTGGTGACGCCGCTAGCCGTTGTAAGCAGTTGTAGGGGAGACGTCCACCCCAGGATTTTCCACCTGAAGAATTGTCACCCTGCCAAACTCTGGGGTGACAATTCTTCAGGTGATCCACTATTTGTTTAGCTCCATACTATAAAATATTACCAAAACTTAACTTTTTTATCAACTTTAAATTATCTTTAAAATCACTCCCTAGCGGGATATCCTGTAAACATGTGTGACATTTCCGTCATGTATACGTCATGATCGACGTCTCAAGTGACGTTATGAAACACTTTGTAGTGGTTGGTTGACTGGTCAGTTGCGTCACTTGTTTTCATTTTGTGATTGGGGGTTGGCAGTGCAGTCTGGCCCTGAATATACCACAGGGTTATTACTTATCACCAGTTGGGCAACTATTTATTTACGAAACTCTTAAAGGTTTAATAAGCATAAAAATAATGAAATAATAAATTAAATTTTATTGTTGTTGTTCTTGTTGGTTATTTTAGTGTTATTTATTTTATATGACAATAAGAATGTGAAATAGTGCTTTGTCCGCGCCCTCTGTGTATGTCAGTGTAAACAAAGATGGCAGATTTCGATGCCATCAACACCATCGAGAGAGATGAAGAGGAGAATTCTTCCTCGTCTCTCGAGTCGTACACACAGACGCCAGAGCCAGTCATCATAAGAGGGGCGGGCAACATTACAGTGTGAGTAAGAGAAGAGTTAAGGCAGCAGGAGAGAGATAATAGTGATGTCATTGTCTCCTCACCATCACTCCTCTGCTCACTACAGCTGTGATTAAGGTCTAAGTAGCCCCTATCCCCTTGTAACACACTATTTTAATAGTATATAAGTTTTACTTCTGGTTGGCTTTGTGTTTCACGTGAATTATCGTAAGTTTATCTAGTGACTTTTCTCTCTTCAAGTTTTGTTCCATAAATACTCAAGTTTTTTGTGTCTTAACTGTGGTCGTGTTATATTATTAGCGGTAAAGGTGGAGGAGACAGTTGACACCAGATGGTTAGGTTAGTGATTCTCAACCTTTTTCACTCCATTCCCTCCTTGAGGAATTTTCAACATCGTGGCCTCCTTCATTTTTTTCCCAGAACAGACAAACGGACAAGTGATAAAGACTAAAGAATGATAAAGAAGGACAGATAAATAGGACAAGAGTTAGAATGGCAAACACACACACACATTCACATACATAACACGCCCATGCACTCACACATAAAGCACACATACAGTCATACACAAACATGCACACAGGTAAACATTCACACTCAAGCTAGCAAGCTGAAGTGTACTTCCTGTAAGCAAGAACACGCCTCCTTTGACAAGCACTGCCCAACTTGGAAGAATGAGAAGAATAGTGAGTCATACTAATTTAGCACTAAAAATGGTGGGATTATATAAGTAAAGAATGAGTATAAACAACAATGGCACCAATAAATAAGGAAATAATTAATAAAGGAAGTGTACAAATATTTCACCCACGTAAAGCAGCGACCACATAAATTATGAAACAAAATAAGTAACACCAATTATGGAGTATATTATGCTTGAGTCAAGCTCAAGCACAATATATGGTTCAGAGACAATACACTCCACTGGTTTCGTGATGGTATCCCAGGCCAGACTGAGATCATTCGGTCCTATCACCACTTGCAAAGGGATGACACACGGACACGTACTGAACAGGCCAGTGCAGCAGCTCGGTCCAGCCCGTCACACAGACAGGGACTGGACCTGTGAAATCTTAAATAATCCATAAAAAAAAAAATAGCACCAGAGTATGTACATATTAAAATTGTATTGCTGTTATGATTAAACAAAATGACAAAAAAAGAATGAAAATTCTCTTCTGCCAAGTCAATAAGTAATACAAGTTTTGTTTAATTCAGATTCCCAACATTATTTGGAAACGTACAATTTATAACAGCTTGCCGTGGCTCCCTTGGGAACCATGGACCCCAGGTTGAGAACCACTGTCCTAGACTGAGTACTTTACATTTGTCCACATTGAATTTCATCTGCCTTTTTCAGACCATTAAAAAATTTGTTTAGATTTTGCTATAGTTTTCTGGAGACCTCATCAGATTTAATTACACGCCTTATTCTAGTGTCATCAGCAAATTTACTTATGTTGCTGTCTACGCCGATATCTATGTCGTTTATGTATATAATAAATAATAATGGTCCGAATACTGAGCCTTGGGGAACTCCATTAGTGACGTTATTCCAATCGAATTTAGTGCCGTTAATGCTCACTTGCTGTTTCCTGTCCTGTAACCACGCCCTAATCCATTTTAGAATATCTCCTTTAATGCCACGAGCCTCCACTTTTCTTATTAGTCTTTCGTGGGGGACTCTGTCGAAGGCTTTGCGAAAGTCGAGATATACCACATTATAATTGTGCCCCTCGTCCACTAATTCGAAAACTGATGAAAAGAATGTTAATAGATTAGTTAGACATGAAAGCCCACTTGTGAAGCCATGTTGGGAATCATTGATCAACTTGTGCTTCTCCAGGTGATTTCGAATAGAGTTCGAAATGATTGCTTCCAGTAATTTGCTTACAATTGATGTTAGACTGATTGGAGTGTAGTTAGAGGATAATGATCTATCTCCCTTCTTGAAAATCGGTATTACATTCGCTATCCTCCAGGATTCTGATACTACAACCGTTTTTAAGGACATGTTAAACAACTTTGCTAAGGGCATACTCAGCTATTCCTTACATTCCTTTAATACTCTGGCAAATATCTCATCGGGATCTGGTGACTTATTAGGCCTTAGTTTGTCTATTTGCTTACTAACATCGTTACTAGTCACTACTATCTCTGTATATAGTCGGTGCCTCTGGTATCATGTTTAAATTTCGGTGGTGAAAACTGTTGAAAAATATTTATTCAGTTAGCTCGCCGGTACCTGACTGTATTGACTTCACCTCCCTTGCTACCTTCAGTTCATTATTCCTCTTTGCTTTTCTTATCTCGGTCTTAACCCTACTGGCCAATACTTTATAATAATCTCGAAGGTAGACATCACCACGATTTATTCTCCTACCTATAGCCTTCCTTTGTTCAATAATATTCCTTAAATAATTATTTATCCATTTAGGGTCTTTGTTGTCTGATCTGAGTTTTCTGTATGGTATGTTCTGCCTTTGTGCATTAAGTAACTCATTATTTAAATTGTTGTGGAACTCGTCAACCTCAGATATCGTTATCAGATCATCCTCGACCGTCAGGTCTCCAAGTAAGATGAGGTCGCCCTCTGTGGGTACATTGAGTAAGGTCACCTCATGTGAGGTCATGTAATTCACCCCCAAGAGTGATACCCCTTCTCTCAGCTGGAATCTAGGTAAATTTCTCGAAATCAATTGCTCAAAAAATAATTTCTCGAATTATCAATTGCTCGAAATAATTTCTCGAACTCGACAGTAAGGTAATGTACGACACCAATGCTGAATTTGCTCTTAAAGTTCGTCTCTTATCTGCATTGGCATTTATACCTGTACCCAATGTTTTGGAAACATTTGAATTTCTAGTTGAAAATTAAATTTTTCCAGATGAACTTCAAGGAGTAGTGGATTATTTTGAAGACACGTGGATTGGGCGGCCGTATAGACGCAGCTGTAGATGTGCTCCTTTGTTTAAACATGAAATGTGGAACTGGTTTGATAATGTTGTAGAAGGAATGTCGAAAACAAACAATGCAATTGAAGGGTGGCACAACAGTTTTGAACATCAAATAAGTGCTCGTCATCCGTCTATTTGGAAGTTTATAGATGGACTAAAGAGAGAACAAAGATTACAAGAATTGCGAATAGAACAACATGTGGGAGGAGTCAGTACAGATAGGGGCAGAAAAAAGTACCGTGACTGCGCAATGCGATTAAAGAATATTATATCAAACTATGACGAAACAAACAATGTAGAAGAATATTTAAGAAGTGTTGCATACAATATTTCATACTAATAGAGTAAATATTGGCAATAATACATTTTTATTTTTTTATTTTTGTAAGTATGAAGAACAACAAAAATAATAAAAATGTACCCGTACTTATTTTAAACTATGACGAAACAAACAATGTAGAAGAATATTTTAGAACTGTTGTATAATAGAAATGTACCCATTCTTAATTTTAACTGTTCAATTAACAATAATAAAGTTGTATTTTTTTATCTTATTTTTGGATATTCTTCATTAAACCACTATTTTCGAGCAATCTGCCTTTCGAGCAATTGATCGTTCGAGATATTATTTTTCGCGCAATTGATTTCGAGAAATTTACCGGATACCTCTCAGCTGCCTCTTCAAACTATCAAAGTTTGCCCTTCTGAAATCTGGGACTTTAGTGGAATTTTCCTTGCGTCTGCTCTGAAATTCTACCAGGAATCTAATTTCTTTGTGATCGCTGTTTGCAAGTTCGTTCCCTTCCTCAACATTACTAATGAGGTTTTCTCTGTTTGACAGAACTAAATCGAGTATATTATTACCCCGGTTGGGTTTGGTTATATGTTGTCTTAGGAAACAGTCCTGGATTGTTTCAAGAAAATCTTATGATTTTGAGTTACCCGTAAGGTCGGTCCCATCTATTAGACTAAAGTTAAAGTCGCCTACTATACAGACTTTGCTATGTCTGGATGCCATGCGCATTCATCCCAAATAAGTCGCTCATTAACTCTACAGTAAGCTCTCATATTTGGAAAACTATTTAGATTGTAAAAACCTCCCAAAATTCAAATTGTCCAAAATTTAAATACAACTTCCTATGGAGAAACATAATTTGAGTCTTGTACTTTCAATGTTTGGCTAAATTTTGCCTTATTTACCCTACTTTTTGGGCGAATTACTACCTGTAATAAAGCAACATCCTAATAAACCAATAAAAATAACACAGATAAAGTTAAATAAAAACTAAAAACAACATAGGAAAAGTTTTTATGTTCTACAGCTTCAGCTAGAGTTGAACCTGATGACTTGGCAACTTTGTCACCCAAGTAAAAAAACACACACAACATTGGCTGTCCTTATGTTGTGAACTTTACCACCACTGGTGGGTAGAAGTTTTGTTTTAAATTCAGAAACATTAATTAAAATATATATGAACAATAAATAAGTGTTGCTTTCATATTATTATGTAGAGTAATGACGATATGTTTACACATGTGCGCACTTACATACGCGATCTCAATTTTATTCTTTATCATTTATGGTTAGCTACTTATACAGTGGGGTATGCTATAACGAACGGATCCTACTACGAATATTCCTATAACGAACGGTTTTACCTATAAAATTGAGAATGCTATAACGAACGAAACTCCTACAACGAACATTATTTAAAATTTTTTTTTTTTTTTACTAATTTATTGTTTTTTTATTACAAGTATTAATGATATTGGTTATTTCAGGGGTTTAGATGCATATTTATGCACTTTTTTACAATTTTTACAATTTTATATTATATTTTTCAGTGTTAAGTGGTTGTATTTGGTGGCCTGGAATGGATTAATCCTATAACGAACGAATGCTATAACGAACAAGGTTCTAGAACCAATTAGATTCGTTATAGCATACCCCACTGTATTGTTCCATTTATTTACATTAAATAACATTACTTAAAACAACCATATTAATTTTTTTACATTAATTTTACACTACAGCTACAACCAGTTTTATATGTAGAACCATC